CGATTCTTGATTAGGACCACCGTTATCAAAGTCATTCTAGTATAATAAAGGTTAATATTCATTTTGTAGTTACAATCAATATGTTACAAATACTTACCAAATAGCGCACCATGTGACGCTTAATTCGACTTTTGCTACAGACGAGATTTTTCGATTGGGGATTTAATATAATGTCACACACGGCTAGTGTAAAGGCACAATAATAGTTTGTAAGAGTAGGGGCAGCAGCCGTGGTGAATGCAGTTCTTGCAATAACTGCAACCCAGAAAACACCTTTATCATCTTGCTCATAGAGCATACAATAGCAATCGTACACTTCTTGTCTTTGCTTCCACCTTACTATATCCTTAGCACTAGCATTGCTTCTGAGGCGAAGAAGCCTTTCGTGGCCAAATATACTCCAAATTGCTGAACGTACATTCTGCAACGCTGAACCACACAGGTTCTTCATTTTTTGTAAGAGCTATTAGAGATTGAGCACTATAAAAAATGCTTAGACCTATTGAAAACGATTGATAACAATATAAAATGATATACACAGGTGTCAAATATTATTGCTTACCTGAGAACACCACACACCATGGAACCAGTTTGCAAAATCGTTAGCACTTAAGTTCGCCATGAATTCAGGGAACTTTTCGTTTAAGTAGTCCTTGAGGGACTCTTTTATTTTATCTTGGGTGGGATATATTATACGTAAAAAAAGGCATTTGACAATGCTAATATATACTTCCTGTGAAAATGTAAAAAAAAAAGTGCTCAAAATATGCCAAAAAAAAAGTGCTCAAAATATGCTCTAAATTACTCTTGCTTTTTACAATATTTACGTTCCACACTTTGGCCAAAAAATCCTTGCCTTGAATGCCTTGAGTGCCTTGAATGTTTCTTTGCCACATTTCATTCCTAAAATCTTGAAAATCATCACTTAACTGTCTGATCAGGAGGTATATTTGATGGTTCTGAGCAAAGAGACGTTCTCGGTCCTCAGCTTCACAGCGATGGCGACTTGAATGAGCTCAAATAAGGTAACAGGTATCAAAGGTAACAAAAAAAAAAAAAGTTTCAAAAAAAAAAAAAAAAAATTAGATCAGAAGATCGGCATTCAAAAATCAAAAAAAAAAAACCTTTTTATACCATCTCGATTATTGTCATGATTATGTAACTGATTTTGATTGGAAGATCGACGATCAGGTGATGCCGATCTTCCACATGTTTGCTGCGGCTGCGGCTGCAGCTGCGGCAATAATGATCGCGATGCATGACGTGAGGTAGGTTGAGAAGGTGATGGTTGCCTAGAATAAGTTTGCTGGACAGATTGTCTGGAAAGTGATGGTTGCCTGGAAGAAGTTTGTTGGGCGGATTGTCTGAATTGTTTAGATTGTCTTGATTGGGTTAGAAAGGATGATTGACGTTGCCTACTTCTACCACTCATTATGGAAAAAGTATTATATGCACTTCTTATAGATCTAGTGGATGTGTCAGAATCAGAATCATCGTTATGAGATGGTTGAGATGGTTGATGAGGAC